CCGCTGTGCTATCACTATGGCCCAGGATATGGTTTCTCTCAGGGCTGAGGCCGGGCCTACACAGCCCTGGTCACTACCATCACCCACCTTACTCTGCATCATCGCATTGGTGTTCCTGGTGTCCTCCAGGGAGGCCAGGGCCTGCAGGGACGCCTCCCGCTCGGCCAGCAGCTCGGTCTGCTGCGCCTCCAGCAGCGCCTGGTCTTTCAGCAGCCAGTGCAGCTGCCGCTGGAGCTTCGTGGCCTTCTGGCCCAGCAGCTCCTTCTCAGAGCCAAGGCTGTTCAGCTGCTCACGCAGGGCCGACTCCACGCAGGCGGCCTCCTCCTTCTCAGCCGTGAGCTCCTCGATCTCTTGCACCAGCGACTTCTGATCCCGAGCCAGCTCCTCGTAGGAGCACTGCAGCTTCTGGATGATGTTGTCCTTGTCCTTGGCCAGGGATAGGTTCTCCAGAACCAGCTTCTTGACATGCTCCTCAAGCTGGCCCCTCTCCTCCAGGCCCTTGTTACACTCGGCCACCAGGCTGCTCTTGCTCATCTGCAGCTCCTCCACCAGGGCCTGCAGCCCCAGCTTGGCGACCTGCAGTGCGTCCTTCTCCGCGCCCACCCTCTGGAGCTCCTCCTGCACCGCCCTGCCCTCTTCCAGCACTTTCTCTTTCTCCGCCTCGAGGGCTTCTCGGTCCAGCCGCTCCTGCTGGCAGAGCTTCTCCGCGGCCCACCTGGCCTCGATGACCTTCTCCTTATCCAAGCGAATCGCTTGGTTCAACAGCCAGAGCTTCCTCTGCTCTTCCCGCAGCGAAGAGTTTTTGGCCTCCGCTTCTCTGAGTTTCAATTGAAACCACCCTCTCTCGGACTTCAGACAGAGCTTCTCCTTCGCCAGCAATTCATTCTCTGACCTCAGGGCCTTGCGATCCTCTGACATCAGCTCCATCTCTTCTTTGGCCAAGCTTAATAAGCAAGTTAAGGACTGCAGAAACAAAAAGCGGGGAAGAATGGAAACAAGAATGAGATCAAGCAGGCACACGCAAGCCAAGCACTTCATGTGGCCTAAATACCAGAAATGAAAATGGCAGAGTAGTCTTACCTGCACACGCGTGTATACGCACACGCGCACACACTCACACACACACGCACACACAGACTCAGGATGGAGAGGCTCAAACACAGTTAGCTTCTTAGCGTCAACATAACTCCCTGCCTATTTTTTGGATGGGGGCCCCACACCTGCTGGTGTTCGGGTCTCGCTCAGGGTTCTGTGTTCAGGGATCAATGCTGGCAGGGCCGGAGGACCATACGGGATGCTGGGTATCAACCCCGGGTTGGCGAGTACAAGGCAGCACCCTACCCATTCTACTATCAGCCGATCTGATTTTTGAAATGCCGTCTGAAATGATTCCTGACAGCTCCCCGGAAGGTGTAAGTACAGTTGGATCTTGACATTGGGGCATAAGATTTTTCCCCCCACTTCAATTCTTCTATTATAAAATCCATCACTCTGTCCTAGAAGGGATGCATTCAAAAACTAGTTTTCAATACAATTCAAAGAACTACAAAAAGTATTTTGTTTTGGAACTTTGTGCAGGAGGGGAAGGGAAAAGCAACCACTGCTTGTCAAACGATTTTCACAGGGACACACAGAGGCAGGAAATGGACTTAGTCCCAAAAGTTATACACTTTATAGAAAATCCAGACGAATCCACCAAGCTTTGGAGACTGAAGCCAACAGTTTTTGCTTGCCAAACACAGTAACAAGTCTCAAAATGGAGACATTAGTGGGCCCGCTCGAGCAAATCGATGAACAATGGGAGGGCAGTGTTTGCAGTCATTTGGGAGGGGCCCAGGGGCTCCAGGAGGACTGGCCGCACACGGGTCAGGGTGTCCCTCACCTTTTCTCCCTGCCCGTCAGCAACGGGTTGTGCGTTTTCATTTCTGAGTCTCAATGCACACCCCAGTTGAACTGCCATGTACTTTCCAGAACTTTCTGCAGCAAGGGCTATCTTCTCTGTCCAGCTCAGCAGCCATGAGCCGCAGCAGGCTACTGGTGTGTGCTGGGCAGCTGACCGCTGACGGCCATGTTACCGGAATGGGACTGACCTGAGCATGCACACGAGGCTGCTGGCCACAGAACTGGGCCAGCAGGTGGTCCAGAGAGGAGACGTAGCCCTGGCTGCGGTGCGTGGTGGAAAGCGGCCAGGCACCAACACACACACGGGCCACGGCCGCCATCAGCCGTGGCGCTGCCCTGCGCCCACCCACCTTGGCCTTGTCGGCTTGCGTCTTCAGCTCGGCCACCTCCCGCAGCAGGCTCCCGTTCTCCGCCTGCACCGCCTGCAGCTTCTCCTTCGCCTGCAGCAGCAGCTGCTGAAGGGCCTGCGGCGCCTCCTCGTGCTGCCCCTGGATCTCCACGCTGGCCTTGGCGTGCTCGGCCTGTAGAGCCTGGCACTGGCTGCGGCTCACGTCCACCTTCTCCTCCTGTGGGGAGCCGGGGGCCACCGTCAGCAGCCGGCCCCCTGCCCGCTCCCACCACACACGCACACACACGAACTCACACACACACAACGCAAACACACAAACATACACACTCGCACACACACAGCCCCTCTGCTCTGCTCACCAGCATGCACACACAAAAACACATGCACACACACGCGCGCACACACGGCCCCTCAGCTCGGCCACTTTCGTTCAAGTTCTCCTGAAGACTACGAAGCGCTAGCCCCTTCCCCTGCAGCTCTTCGGCCAGGCTATCGGCCGACCAGAGTCACAAGGATGGAGTGAATGGACCAAGGAGACAAACAGGAACGGGAAGGGGAAAACAAAACAGAAAACACGTATGAGAAGCCCATGACCCAACACAACCCCGAAGAACAGAGGCGTGAGGGGAGCGTGATTGCCTGAAGCTCACGAAGCCAAGGCCTTGGCGCGGGCAGTTCTGGTGATGACTGTCTAGTGGTTATTGAAAACGGCCCAAACAGAGGCGTTTTCTAGACCTAACTTTGGCGTGACCAGAAAATAAGAAAGCCTATGAGAAAGACTGACTTTCCAGGGGCGGGGAGACGGCACAAAGGGCTGCAGTACACACCAGGCCCGAGTTGGAACTGCAGCACCACTGTGCGAGACTGAGATCGGTCCCCAAGCTGAAAAGCCCCACTACTGCTGGGCGGGAGGACCCCAGAGCCCAGAGCATGGCTTGGCGAGGAAGAAGGAAGTAAGCAAGGGAGGAGAGAAGCTAAGGATAGGAAGGAGGGAGGGAGGAAACAGGGAAGAAAGGGAAAGGGAGGGGAGGGAGGGAATAAAAGGTTATCTTTTTTTTTTCCTTTTGGCTTTTTCGGTCACCCTAAATGCTCAGGAATTTCTCCTTGGCAGTAACCCGGCCAGCTCACCGAGAGTATCTCGCCTGCACAGCAAGCCTGCCAAGCTCCCCGTGATGTATTCGATATGACAAACACAGTAACAAGTGTCACAATGGAGACGTTACTGGGTCCGCTCGAGCTAATCGATAAACAACGGGAGGGTAGAGACAATGACAGTGACCCTATGGGATGATGGAGATCGAACCCACGTGGGCCGCGTGCAAGGCAAATGCCCTTCCCACTGTACTATCACTCCGGCCCCCAAGATTTACTTTCTTGTCGTTTCTTTTCTGTGACTTTAAAAGTTTGAGGGGTTTCAATATGAAATTTAAAATGAGGAACCTCTAATCCCCTAGACAGCAGTCACCCGAACTTGACGTTTGTTACATCTTGATGCGAACAAGTGGGTCAGCTATCCCCTGCTCTGTCCTAGGAATTGATTCCATTTGTTTCAGCCGGTGTTTCTGGAATGCCAGCCAAGGAGTCCTGAGTCCTGAAGGGAACTCCCAGGGATCTCGGGGCCCTTCTGTTATGTCTATCAGTCCTGTCTACAAAACCCACAGCCCTTCCATCTTGGCCAACAGAGAAGTTTCTCCAACAAAGTGCCCAGCGCGGGGGGGGGGGAGCGGGGGGTGGGGTGAGGGCACGTCCCTGCCACCACAATCCTATAGGAGGAAAAGGGCATCTCTCCTGGCTCCTTGGTGAGAACTGCAGCTTCCTCGGCTTGGCCCAGATCTCACTGTCTCGTCCTTCCCCAGGGTCAGGGCTACCATGAGAGTCCGTGCCTGTGGCCAGCAGGGGGCCATGCTGGAAGGCGGACTTGGCCCAAGTACCCCTTAAAGGCTGAAAGGGATGAAATCTCTGCAGGACTGGGCGGGGGCTTGTGCTGCAGGGAGGGAGGGGCTGGCAATGAGAAATACCAAGATGGGCCACGTCAACAGCCTGGAGGGAGCTCAGAGGCTCAGAGGCATCGAGCACCAGCTGGGAACTGAGGCGCCTCGGGGAGAGGAGGGCAAAGCCCGTCACACGAGCAGGTGGTCAGCAAGGTCAGGGAAAGACCCTCGCGGCCTGACTCGAGCCCAAGTGTCTGGGCGAACTCGGCGAGTATGCAGTGAGCCCAAGAGGTGGGGGGCAGAGGTTTGCTCTGGGGGCTCCTATCTTGTTTTCTCACTGGCCTCGTGAAGAATTCTCTGTTTCAGAAAGACCCCAGACGGGCCCGATTAGCCGGGGCCAAGGCTAGCACGGCATCCGGGTGCTGGGGACCAATGACAGCCCCAGAATCATGCCGACTCCTTCTCAGTCCCCTCAGAGGGAACCGCACGGGACGTGACCGGGAGACCTGCCAGCACCAAGCCGGAACACGGCGGCGAACAGACTGACACACAGATTTAGGGAGTGAGCGTGGAAGTGGGCGAGGGCGCCCGAGTACCAACCTGCAGCTCTCAGCCCGCTTTGCATTCTCTAACTCCTGAATCTGCCGCTCAGCCACCTGGAGCTGCTGCCTGAGCTTCTCCATTCCCAATTGACCTTCGGAACTGGCCTTCCAGAGCCCATCGAGCTGCAAGAGCTTCTGCTGGGTGGCCTCCAGCTGTGCCGTGGCATTGGCCAGGGCCTGGGCTTGCTGACTACACACGGCCCGCAACCCCTCCAGGTGCTTTACCTTCGTCTCCGCCTCCTGCAGCTTGTTCAGGGCGTCCTCCATCTCCACCAGGTGCTGGTCCTCGATCTGGTCGAGCTTGGCCCATGCGGCCTCCAGGCTGTTCTTCTGCTCCTGGGCCGTCCTGAACAGCCGCGACCTGAGCGTCTGCAGCTCGGAGGCGTGCGCTGCACGCTCAGCCGCATGCTGGGCCTTCAGGCTCTCTACCTCCTGCTGGTACTCGAACTGTAGCCTCTCGATCTGCATCTTGAGCTCGGCCATCTCAGCCGCCTCGGCGCCCACGCCCTGGCTCACGGATGCCTTCGGCTCGCCCATGGCCTGTTGGTGCGGGGCGATGGCCGTCTCCAGCTTGGACTTCCTCAGGGCGATCACGTCCGCGTTCTCCTTGTTGGCATGGTCCAGCTTGGTCCTCAGGCACTCGTTCTCCCTGGCGAGCTTCTCAGAGGCCACCTGCAGGGACTTCACCTCCTTCTGGTGGGAAAACAAAATTTCCATGAACTTAAAACAGGAAGGAAAAGAAGCAGAAATAGAAATTTTTCTTTTCCAAACTGACTCTTTGCTTCTTCTTGTTTTAAGGAAAAGCTTCCAAAAAATGCTGTTCTAAAGGATTTGATTTGTGCTGCTCGACTGAAAATCAAAGCTGAGGCAAAGGCATAGACCCGACTGTCAGAACGAGAGAAAAACGCTCATCAAGAGCAGCCTCCAGCCCCAAGGAGCAGAGATGTGTCAGCCGGGCCCTGCCAGGTGCATGACCCCAGGTATCCCTGTCTGATTCGGAGTCTCCAGCAGAAGTGGTCCCGGCGGGGTCGGCCAGGCCGCCCCGCATCCTTGCCTGCACCCTGCAAGCCTCCGGGACCTGCCCGGGCTTTACCTCCAGGTCGCCTTTGGTGATGGACTCCTCCTCGACTCGGAACTGGAGGTCTTCCACTTTCCTGTGGGGGAGAGGGAGACGTTGTGAGGGGCGTCACTGCTGCCCCCCATGAGGGCCACCATCTTGTAGATGTGCCTGACCCAGCCCCCGGCTCCACACACAGGAGGGCTGAGAGAGTCGGGGAGGGCCAGAGCGAGAGTACAGCAGGCAGGGCGTTTGTCTTGCACGTGGCCGACCCGGGTTCAATTCCCAGCATACCACTATGGACCCCGGAGCAATGCCTGGAGTAATTCCTGAGTGCCGAGGCAGGAGTAACCCCTGAGCATCGCTGGGTTGACCCAAAAAGAAAAAAAAGAAAGTCAGCGAGTCCCCTCAGCTTCGAGCACTGGGTGGGACCCGCAGGCTACAGGAGGAAGCTAGGCCGAGCCAACGCCAGGTGCAGTGTCATATCAACCCTTTCTGCCTCGCAGCTAACAGAGGCGGTTAAAAACTGACCCGCGGTGCCTGCCAGTCCCTCCCAGCCAGCGCCTGTCTCCACATTGGGACAACAACTGAGCCCTGGGGGAGAAGCAGCCAACGACTCGGGGGCGGGGGGCGGGGGGAAGGGGCTCCCAGTGACTGTCGAGTCAGCATATGGAGCTGAGGGGCTGAGCCAGGCACTGGCAGTGCCCCTGGGCACCACACTGCCGGGAGCCCATCTGAAAAGGCGGTCTCGGCCAGCACCCCGTGTCCATCTGTCTGCAGCCAGGCCTCAGCCCCGCCGTGGGTCTGTCTGCAGCCTGGCCTGAGCCCCATGTCTGTCTGTCTGCACCCCGGCCTGAGCACCACGTCCGTCTGTCTGCAGCCTAGCCTGAGCCCTGTCTGTCTGCTGTCGTGCCCCATGGGTACTGTGGGTTTCCTCCCGCCTGGGACTTAACCACAGGGACTCCCACAGGGCCCCACTGGGTTAGGACAGTTCCTTGCCACTCAGCACAGGCCTCCTGAATACCAGGCCACCTGGACACAGCAGGGAGGGCCGGGGGTGGCTTCGCTCCACTGAGCTCCCCCCCCCCAGCCCTCCCGGTGAGGCCGCGCTCAGGACTGGGCACCTGTTGGTTTCTGGTTCTCACAGCCCTGGAAGGCCAGGAGTGCCCCACCCGAGGGAGCCCCCAGCTCCGGGCACGGCCTCACCTCTTCTCCTCCTCCAGCTGGTTCAGCAGCTCCACCTTCTCCCAGTCGGTCGCTTCCAGCATGGCCCGCAGCTCGTCGTTCTTGGCCTCCAGCTCCAGGACGTGCTGTAGAGGCAACGGCGCGTGAGTGGCCTCGCCCGCCCCCAACAGCCCTCTGTGGGCTGGCATCGCCACCTGTCACCACGGCAAGCTGAATGCATCTCCCACCTAAGCTACGGCATTTCTGGAAGGCCAGAGGGGAACCACACCACGAAAGCACCGGCACAGACAACTCGGCACTCCCTAAACCCCCACAGGGTGAGCAGAAGGCGCATGCGATCAAACCACGCGCTGGACGCCACCGCAACGACAGCAGACGGGGACCCACGGCCTCTGCCTGCACCGCCTGCACCAAGCTCGCGCCCAGCCTCTACCGCAGGCGTCTCTCGGCCCCAGCACTGCCGTCTGCACAGACGTCACCTGGTCGTGCCCGTCCCGGCCAGGACCAGCTCCTGCTCTATCTCCCCCATGTGGCTCGTGGCCTTGGCCACCTCCGCCCGCTCTAGGTCCCGCTCGGCCAGCAGCTTCTCAATGTGCTGCTGCTTCTCCTTCAGCGCCTCCTGGAGGGCGGTGGTGCCAGAGATCTGTGGGCGTAGCGGGAGGAGGTTTCCGGCAACTGCAAAGGAAAAAGAGACGTGAAGGGGATGGGGCCGGCCGACACGGGCATGCTCGCGGTGATCCTCGGCAAAGCACATGGAGCAGTGCTGCATCCTTGCATATGGGCCAGCGACTCTCAGCAGAAACGTCATGAAACCTTCCCGAAGATCCTTGGACGGGACCTGGGCTCCACTGATCTCGGGCCTCGTGGGAATCCAGAGACTCTTCTGCAGAGCCGGAGGCAGCCCCCTCCACAGCCCGCTCTGGCCTGAGCTTCCTTAAGGATGAGCCCTTGGCTTGAGCTTGAGGCCAGCTCCAGCATCTTCAGCCTTGCAGGTCCGTCAGGGTCTCCCTGGGCAGCCTGTCCCTTCTCTCTTCCTCTTCCTTCCAGCTCACCTCGCTCTCCCGGGCACCCGCCCCATGCCTGAATAGCAGTAACCAGAGACTCTTGTCTCTGGGAATGGCCCCGTGCCCCCGGGGGTCACTGGGTGTGACCCTATAAAAGACCCCTGTGCCATCTGCCTTCGAAAATGGGAGATGAGAGGCTAGAATGATAAAGTTGCGGGAAAGGCGCTGGCCTTGCACGCCGCTGACCCGAGCTGGATAACAGGTACCCACCCCAGAGGGTCCCGAGCCCACCAGGAGTGACTCCTGAGTGCAGAGTCCAGAGTAAGTCCTGAGTATTGCTGGGGCATGGCCAAAGTCCAGGGGAAAAAAAAGGAAAAAGTGGTGGGTTCGAATGTGTGAGAGCTCACGCCCAGTGAGCAGGACAGCAAGGGCAGCTCAGGGAAAGACCAAGCACAAAGGGAAGGAGAGAAGAGGCAAAGACAGTGAGGAGGGGAGGGGAGTGGGCTGAAGGGCTGCGGGGACCGGGGGTCCTGTCCGTTCTATCCTGGGCTCGTGGTCGCTCATGGTCTCTCTGCAGACCCAGATCCCTCTCTGCACAATGGCCCCTGCAGGAGGGGACAAGGCGGGACCTGATCTTCATTCTTCGGGCACATGGTGGCGGGGGCTGCAGCGGCGATGGCCAGGACTTCCGCTCCTTCTGCCCGGCCATCCCTGTTCCATCGCCCTGCTGCGGTCCAGCCGCAGGTTCTCTTGCCGCTTCTGCGCATCATCTGAGCTGCTGCCAAACGCCTCCTGACCGACGGGCCCAGCAGGGCCCAGGCTGTCCACTGCTGCTTTGCCTGCTGGGAGCTCTCGAGCCACCTGGTTCTGTCCGGAGAGCGGGAACATCCTTGCCTGTGCGTAAGGACCTGGCCGTGATTTCCCGATACACTTAAAGTATATCTGGTCCGATTAAATGCCCTCCCCAGGGCCAAAGAGTCTGTTGGGGGGGGAGGTGGGGGAAGGTGCTTGCAGAGGTTCAAGATCCAGCACCATCAGGAGTGACCCCACCCCCCAAGCAGAGAGCCAGGAATAAGCCCTGAGCACCCCTGGGTGTGGCCCCAAAACCAAATAATAACTAAAATTTCTAGGAGCACACGAGCTCTCGGGCCAGCCATGTGCAGTGGTCCCGGGAACTGCAGTCAACTCGGATTTCAAGGGGTGGCTGGGAAGAGCTTGCCAGCCTTGGGGGTCTAACACCAAGACCCGGGCTCAACCCCCCTCCACCGGGAGCAGCCCCCAAGCACCACGCCTGGAGTCCCTGAGCACTGCCAGGTGAACCCCAAAGAGCAAAAATAAAAACTAAGAAAGGCGGGCGGCGGTGTTCCCTGAGCCTCCTGGCCTGAGCAGGTAGGGCAGGCCAGACGCACGCGCTTCCTGGGCCCGAGACAGCTCCCTGAGGAAACCAGCACAGGAGCGATGGGCTTCTTTCAGCCAACTATGGAGACGAGACTGTGAGGTTCAGGCGCCGGAGCAGGGAGAAAGCAGCACCCCTAGCATGGGGGGAGGCGCGTGCTGAGGGACTGGGCAAGGTCGGGGCCACGAGCTGAACTCAGGATGCTGATGCCAAAGCCTCTGCCCTGCGCGTGGTTTGTGAGGCCCCAGGCTCCATCCCAGCAAGGCCAGGCCTTCTGTGGGAGCCTGGTACCTCAGAAGAGCAACTCAGCCAACAGACGAACAGGGAGGCCTCCACAGGGCACGCACGGACCCGTGTGCATGTATGTATGCGTGCATGTATGTTCCAGTGCGAATGTCTACACGCACCTGTGTGCATGCGCGCGTTGTGTTTATGCATGTATGTGCCTGTGTGTGTATACCCATAAGCCTGTGTATATACGGTATGCACTACGTGTACATGTATGAGTGACTGTGTGTATGAACGCTTGTGTGTGCACTTATGGAATTATGTTGTCGAGGTATACTTCCGTGAAGTCACACAGAATCTTTCTATATTCCTGTCATAGACGCTAACGGTGATGTTCAGTTTAGGAGTGAGCTCCACCCTGCATAAAGATATGCAAGGCAGGTGCCAAAGAGCTGGAGAGCGAAGCCCCAGCGCTGCCCAGGCTCAATCCCGGAGGCCCGCCAGGAATAATCCCGAGCACAGAGGTGGGAGAAAGCCCTGAGCTCTGCCAAGTGTGACCCCAAAACAGAACAAAACAAGATAGCGGGGGGAGGCTGGAGATACGTCTCAGGCGTAGGGCTCTTGCTTGGACGTGGGAGGCCCCGGCACAACCCCAGCACTGCAAACGGCCCCTTGAAGCACTGTAGGGTATGGCCCACAGTCAAGCAGAGAAACAAAACCAAATTCCACAAATGGGCTGGTTCGCGAGGGAAGGAGAGGGGCTTCTGAGTCTGCTCCCCTCCTAAATGGTGAGGCGAGGGAAGGAGGAGTTGGACGTGAGGATACAGGTGGGGCAGGGAAACCTGGTGGTGGTCGAGCAAGACAGGACTGGCCCCAGGCCTGGCCTCCTGGCTCCCGTTCCCGTGTCATCTGTTTTGTATCTTCCGTTGCACACACACTCACTCCCTCCTCTTCTGCATCGAGGGTCAATGCACGGAGCAGAGGCGGCGGCAGGAAGCGCAGCCCCCAGCAAAGCCAACCCCCCGGGACACCCTCTCCATCGTGGGCCCGTTTCCCTTTGGACAATATCTCAGGGCACCCTTGCATATTCAGACACACTTTAGTGTTTATGACTCAGATAGACGTGAGGGGAGAAGCCACGAGGCCCCAGCTTTGAATTGCGGCACCGCAATGGACAGAAGTCGAGGCCACTCTGCATGTGGACAGCGTGGTAGAGGGACAGGAGGGAGCAGGGAGAGACGGAGAGAGCAAAGAAGCAAGATGAAGGGCCAAGCGTTCCCCAGAGTCTCTGGGCCCTGCTCTGACCCTCAGGCGCCCCCTTCAGCTACCCCACTTCATCCCTATGGTGGCCTGAGGCCAGAGAGGAGCCCTGAGCACCCCAGGGAAGGCCCATCCCTGCTCCTGTCACTGGTGGTGGCTGGGAAGCCACTCGCCTGCCACCCGGAGCTGCTCAGCCCACGTGCTCCTGCTCCGCCTCTCGCCCCTGGGGCTGTGGGAGTCTGTGGGGGCCCGAGCACCCCGCAGTGGTAGGGGGCTGCTTACTAGTCCCGTGCGGCCGGATCGGTTGCTCTCGAATGAGGCCCCGGAGCTGACGGAGCTGAACGAGGAGGCCGAAGGGCTGCGCTTCAGGCTGGCGGGGGTGGTGGCCATCACATGCCTCACGGCGGCCACCTTGCCCTTGGCCGGCGTCGTGGACGGGAAGCCGATCTTGGTGACTTTGTGAATGGGAGCAAACAATCCATACTTGGGCTGACACTGGAAGTACCTGCGGACAACGAGGAGGGGGGGACAAAAACACCTTCGGCAAGAGACACAAGCGCCGGCCCAGAAGTCCACTGAGTCCCACAGTCTCACACCCCCACAAACGAACACTCTCCCACAGCCCCACATGCCCCACAGTCACACACTCACACCCCAACAAACACACTCACACACGCACCCCAAACAACACTCCCACACTCTCACACTCCCACCCCAACAAACACACTCACACTCACACCCCAACCAACACTCCCACATTTCCACAGCGCCACACTCACACTCACTCCCCAACAAACATCATACCCTCCACCAGCCCACACTCACACACACAACCTAACAAACACACACACACCCCAACCAACACTCCCACACATAAACACCACAACCAACACACACTTACACTCACACCCCAACCAACACTCCCACACTTCCACACTCTCACAGCCCAACAAACACACTCACACCCCAACCAACACTCCCATACTCTCACACTCCCACCCCATCAAACACACACACTCACACCCCAACAGACACACTCACATGTCCACAGCCCCACACTCACACACACTCACTCCCCAGAAACACACATACTCACACCCAAACCAACACACACTCACACTCACACCCCACCGACACTCCCACACCCACACACACTCACACCCCAACCAACACTTCCACACACCCACAGCCCCACAGTAACACACACGCACACCCCAACCAACAATTGCACGCTCTCAAACCAACACTGACACGCTCTCATTCCCCCACAAGCACGCTCACACCCCCACCAACACTCTCATGCCCACGCCCCCACCAACACTCTCACAGCCCCACACTCACACGCTCACATACACACTCCCTCATACATTCACACCCACACTCGCTCACATGCCGCCCACCCCCACCACGCAAACCAAGGGCGATTCCAAGCAGCCTCCCCGGCATCTGAAGGGCGACAGCAGGCCCGGGGGGTTCCTGCGGCCCGAGCACAGCTGCATATGGGGGCCCCAGGCTGTCTCCACATCCCTGCAGGGTCCCCGAGTGCCACCGGAAGTGGCCCCACCTAAGAACCAAGTGAAGTGGCCTGCAGTCAACTCAGTGCCTCCCGGGCACGGTGCATGGCCCCAGGCTGTCTGGGGGGGCAGGGGGACCCACCTCGTTCCGGCCACGGCACCATCGTTCTTGCCCAGTGGCTTGTCCAGCTCTACGCCGCACCAGTCCCCCTTGGCGAAGTCCGTCTCCCCGAGGAAGCGCACCACACCGGCCTCCATGCCTCCCACCTGCCAGAGGGATGGAGGGACGTGGGTCAGGCACCCTGGACTGCGCACAGCGCCCCCACCCCCGCAAACGAACATTCTGGCTTCAGAGTCGGGATTTCCTGAAGAAACCCCAAAGGTCAAAGTGCCATTTCCCCCCGCAACCCCTACAGGGTGAGCAGACGCTGCTGCTCAGTGTCCATGCAAGGCAGCGGCATTCACACCCACTCGCTGTCACCGGTGGCCTGGCTGACCACACCCCCGGGAATCTCTGACCCAGGCCAGCCACCTGGTGTGGTGAGGGGGTCGCTGCCCCTTGGGTGTGGGAGCGGAGCACTGGCAACCCCACCGCTGGAGAACAATTAAGCCAGAAACCAGCTAAAGGAAAAAGACTGTTCTCGTATCTTAGCAGAGTTCGATCTTCCAGTTCTCCTTCACTATGCCTTGGCTTGACGCTTGGCTCCCGGGACACAGAGCAAAACAATCACAGCGCTGGACACTGACGGGAATGCTGACAAACAGGGCTGGAGCACCGGGGGAAGGGCACTGGCTTTGTGTGCGACCACCCTGTGACGCCCCAAGCAAAAACATCGAAAACCAGAGAAATAGAACCGATTTCCAACTTTGTTCATTGGTTTGTTTTTGAGTCACATTCAGAGTGCTCAGGGCTTACTCTTGGCTTGGTGCTCACGGATCACTCCGGGATGTGCTTGGGGGACTGTACATGGGACCAAGACTTAAACCCCGGGTCAGAGGCGTGCAAAGCATGACCCCTCCCCACGGCATGACCCCTCCACCCTGTTTTGGCTAAACTGGTAAAACTGGCAGCATCCCCGCACGCATCCATCACTCTGGAAACTGCAGGACCAGGCGTCCCGGCTGCTCGTGCTTCCACCCAAACCGCGAGTCTGGAGGAGCTGATGAACCAGACAGGCGAATGGACAGCCACCCGCGACCGCTGCCCTCAGCACTCACCAGCACCTGGTCCCCGAGCTTCAGCTCCCGCTCCCCTTTCTTGAGGGAGCCAGCCTCAGAGAGGTTGGAGATGGACTCGCTGGCCGTCCTGGTCAGGCTGCTGATGTGAGGGGTGGCTGGTGCCTCCTTCGCGGGGGACTGGGGCACCTTCGTGGTGCCGGCAAAGGCCGGGGAGGCCGACAGGGGCGGTGTGGCCCAGGCGGCAGGCGCTGGCTGCCGGCAGTTGGTCTCATCGTCGGCCTGCAAGCTCCTACTCAGCTTGGACGGCCGGGTGAAGATGCCCTTCAGCGGCTCGCACTGGAAGTAGCGCACACCCGCCACCGAGCCATCGTTCTTGCCGATGGGCTCGTCCAAGACGATCCCGGCCCACTGACCAGGGGCAAACTGGGTCTCCCCGAGGAACTGGATGAATCCAGGCTTGTTCCCGTTCACCCAGACTCGTTCCCCGACCTGGAAGTCGCCCACAAACTCCTCCTGCATCTCCGAGGAGGGGGCGCTGGGGGTTTTCTCCCCAGGCACGGTCTTCTCAACGGGAGCAGCCGCTGGAACAGCAGAAACGGTCAAAAGGGTCAGAAGGGACAGGAAGGGCCTGTGCAGGTCCAGTTAAAGTGTGGTTGGGGGAGAGGGACACCCAGCAGTGCTCGTGGCTACTCCCAGCCAATGACGGGGGCTGCATGTGGCGAAGCCTGGCCGGGCCAGCCGTGAAGCGGACGTGCTCACCTACCGCTGCATCCCAGGCCGCAGTCATACTTTGGGCAGCTCAGGGGAAATCTTTGGATACACCCCGTGTTACTACGGACCAAGCCAGGTGAAAGCTCGAACCCAGTGTCTTATTTCTGCTGTGTCCACTGGCCCATCTTCTTTTTCTTTTGGGCGGGGAGCAACCCAGCCAATGCTCAGGGCCTATTTCTGGTTCTCCGCTCAGGGTTACTCATGGTGAGGTTGAGGGTGGAGAGTCACATGGGGTGCCAGTTGCCCTCCCCACTGTACTGTGGCTTTGGCCGGCAATGAGGCCCTCTAGTCCAGGTGAGTCCACCTCCCTAAGCCTGTCCCCAAGCCTGGGCAAGGAAGCTAGCAGTTAGAAGGGAGCGGGTTGGTCGCCTCAGCTGTCACCGGTTGCCGTGACACTAAACTCACAGAACGTGACACTCGTGTGTGAGAGCTGTCCCCAGAGCCACGGACGTGTCTACAGCTCAGGGAGCCCTTCCCGGGCGAGGACTCGGGATGGGGTTCCCGGGTAGGAATGAGTCTCCCCTGGCCTGGGCTGAGCGCACTTACCGGCCGAGGGTGCCTTCAGGGCCCAGCTCCCATGCTTGAGGATCTTGGTGGGGGCCTTCAGCCCGCTGGGCCTCAGCAGACTCATGGTCAGGCGGTCAGACGCTGCCGCGGCCACTACCAGGCCCCGACCATCGAGCCCACTGTGGGGCCTTCTGAGGCACACTCGTTCTCAGGACTAAATCTCTGAAGAGCAGAGGAGAGAGTCTGTCTCAGGCGAGCGACCACAGCAGCTTCCGGAGCCCAGAGAGCTGCCAGTCTGGCACTCGCCACCCCGAGTGCGACCCCCAGTCTCCCGCACAGCCCCCTGAGCCCACCAAGTGTCATTCCTGCGCAAAAACTCAATCCAAAACAGACAAACAAACAACTGCCGATTCGGGGCCAGAGAGCAGAGGGGACAGGTACTAGCCCTGCGGGAAGCTGACCCTCACGCCCTCCCTGCCATCACTCCCACCACCAAACACATTCAGGAGCCAGAAATCATCCCTGAGCACCGCGAGTGTCACTGACCACCTCCCCGTCCAGACACTGACGAGCCGGCAGGCGACTCAGCATTGATGGCTGGTCTTGTGTGTGCGTGTGTGCGTATGTACATGTGTGAGAGGCCTGGGGTTACACGTAGAAACTAAGGCAAGCAACAGGCACACTTTTTTCTATGGGCTGAGAACTGCAAGGGAAAAGGGCCCAGCAATACTGCGCCAAAGGGGGGCTGGAGAGCGATAGCACAGTGGGAAGGGCATTTGCCTTGCACGCGGCCGACTCAGGTTCGATTCCCAGCATCCCATATGGTCCTCTAAGCACTGCCAGGAGTGATTCCCGAGTGCAGACCCAGGAGTAAACACTGTGCATCACCAGGTGTGACCCAAAAAGAAAAAAAAAATTGTGCCAAAGGGGAGCGAAGGAGTTTTCGGCATTTCCTTCATTCCTTGTGACGCTGCCCAGGTTGGATAACCACAAGCCAGTATTAACTCCATTTCTTAACCCACAGAACTGAGGCAGACAGGTAGATGGGGGAAGCGTCCCCATGGCGATGGAACTCCGAGAAAGTCAACAAAAGCTTCATGGCCACCAAAAGACTACCTGAGTGCACGGGACCCAAGGTCTTGTCAAAATTAACCCACATTATGAGGCCCAGAGCAGGCTGGACCCCCCGAGGGAATAGGAACAAAGGCCAGGAAAGGAATTTCTAAGAGGACCATGGACCACTCAACTCTACCACGTTGGCAACCACCCTAGCAACGGACTCTAGGTAGCTAGAAACTCCCACCAGGGGCAGCCTGGGGAAATCCCTAGATTAGCCACCTTGAACCAAGGGAGGTCGCTCATGTGTGCCCGAGCCCAGGTACTGCTCTTGCCTATGAGGTCCATCATGTCACGGGCTTCTCCCCTCCTGAGGTGTGGACTTTCAGACCGAATGCAACCTAGCAACATAACATGTTCAGTGGCTTTCTGCACCTCTGGAGAAGCCACACTCTCTCTCGAGCGTGTTACTCCCTCCCTCCTTCCCCTTCCTAAAGGCCTCCAAATAAAATGTTTCTGCTTCATGCTCATCTCCTGAAATGCTTTTCTGCGAGGAGGACAAAGGCCCGGGGGCCTGAGGAGGTCGAGGATCGACTCCCTTTCCCTGAAAAGGGCAACCCCTCACTCCGGCCCAAGACCCCGGGAAGGCCTAGTGGGCGTCGTGGGGCTGGCGGGGCTCATTGCACTCAGCAGTGCCAGAGCTCCAGCCAGTCCCGGGGGAGTGATATCTTCTCCTGTGCTTCTCATCAGCCCCCCATGAGGGCCCACTGACTTCAGAGTCATTCCATATTTCAATAGAGAAGTCCACAAGGGGCAGAGAGGCAGGACAGTGGGGAGGGCACTTGCCTTATATCCAGTTGTCCTGGGCTCGATCTCCGTCAGCACAGGGACGTTAGCCGGCCAGGTCACCCCTGGGCACAGCCAGGTATGGCCACCCCACCCCACCCCGCCCCCACCCCACCCAAAAATATATATATAACTAGTAAAAAAACTTAAACTAACTAAAGATTCAAAACTATCATACACTAAAGAACTGTTAGAGAAAAAAGCCGCCCGCATGCGGGCAGAAAGCCCAGAGACTCAGATTCACCTGTGTCACACTGCACTCGCAGCTTCAGTACTGAGCTCTGCCAAACAGGCTCGTGCCAGTCTCGTGGAGAGACTGAAAATGGCAGTTGGAGTCTAGAATTTTCTGAGGTAGAACTAGAATTCAGCAAGGAGGAGGGCATCATGGGCCATTCTTAAAGGGGCAGGCGCCACCCTTCGTGATGTCAGTGTCTGGCTGAGGCTCCAGAGGGCTGCCCGGCAGACGTCAGCACTACATGGCCAACGAGCCTCTGGTCCCTGCGGGGCCCAGGTCTGGATCCCCGGGCCCTGTGAAAGTGGTTTCAGAAAACTTTTGACAAATGTTTGTCAGTTACAGATCTCCAACTGAGGTCATTCAGCATCCCCCGAGTGGGACCTGGACCCAGTGACCCTGCCCAGGGTCCTCCTCAGGAGCCGGGCCAGGAAATCTGTGAGCCGAGCGGGGGGGGGGGGGGGGGGCGGGCGGGGGGGCAGAGCGACAGGGCAGAGGCCCTGAGCTCGACCCTGACAGCCCTGCTCTCTGTGACCCCAGTGCTCTGAGCAACACCGGCCGCACCGTGGCCAGGGAGTGGCCCAGCCCACTAAGGCCTGAGAGCTGTACAGAGGAGTATGGCCTGGCCTGCTCCGGATGGGAGCACAAACTGAATGAGTGCGGGTCCCCTCGAGGATGAGTGAGCGGGAACCGGGGAGTGGGGGGGAGGTGGGGAGGGCGGAGTGACCTAACCTGGGGGCTGAGGACGGGACATCTGACGGTGCTCAGGGCTGACTCTGATCCAGTCATGGGAGCTCATCCTGGCAGGACCTGGGTGGGAAGGGACGTACAGGGTGGGGTGGGGTCAGCCACAGGCAAGGCAGGCTCCTTGGCCCTGGGCTACCCTTCCAGACAAGGATACCTATTTTCTTTCTTTCCTTTTGTTTTTTGGGACACTCGGCAGTGCTCAGGGTTACTCCTGGGTCTGCACTCGGGAATCACTCCTGGCGGTGCTCAGGGGACCTATGGGGTCAGCCATGCACCAGGCAAGCGCCAAGTCTTCATGTCAAGGTGCCCACGAAACACAGTGTGCAACAAGGGACTCTGCAGAGAACGTCAGGGCCGGCAAACGCTACTTGGAAATCAATCAATTCTGAAAAAACACAAAAAGATGCAAAAGGAGGGGCTGGAGTGAGAGCACAGTGGGGAGGGGTTTGCCTTGCTCACGGCTGACCAAGATTCGATCACCAGTCCTGAGCACTGCCAGGAGGAATTCCTGAGTGCCACGTCCGGCACTGTGGGGCAGAGCCAGGGGAGGGCCATCAGGGTGAAATCAGCACTCGAGTCACACAGGGTTGGTCATTCAGGAGATGGCATGAATGCGTGCGTTTATTCAGAGCATAAGTACAGACTTAAGTATGTTTCCACAGCCCACCCAAAAGAAGGAAAGGGGATGGGACGTGGGAAAGTGGATGGGACAATGAGCAGAGCCATGCACTGTTGGTCAGCCACCTGGTGACCCTTTCGGCATAATGCTATTGGTCAGAACGACCTGCTTTGATATAGCTTTGACATAACTGCAAAGATTGTGCTGTTCCTCATACACCATTTACAAATCATTTACGAGGGTGCATTTTCCCCAAACTGAAACCTCCTGTACTGGGAAGTTGCCCAGCTTTGAGCAGGACAAAGGGGGAATGAAAAATCAAGCATTCTTTTACTTGGTCAGTAGGCAACACTGAGCATCACTGAGTGTGACCCAAAAAGCCAAAAAAAAAAAAAAAGAGAAAAAAACAGCGCAAAAGAAAATGTGTTTGAGCCTCACTGTCTCCCTGAGACTTGAGCACTCAATGCTGTGTGTGAGCCTAGTAGAGTCTCCGGCCTGAAGAAGCCCCCACCCCCCCATCCCCATGCTCCTGTGTTTGGACCCTGACCCTAAATCCTGTGATGGGACCACGTGTGTCCATGACAAAGACACTAGCAGGCTCACGCCCTGGAACGTCCCTGCTTCACACAGGCGTGGCACACGGCAGTGATTCGGCAGGAAGCAGAAGTGTGAGCCTGAACGTGGGTCAAGTCCGTTCCTTCAGCTTGGAGGGGAGGAATGTACAAGAGGGGGTTTTGAGCACTG